AATTCAAATTAACACTGCTTTGGCTCTGTCTGCACTTTGAACCGGGGTGTGATTCCCAGCTTAAAGCATACTTACGCTAGCTCTCATCAAGCTAGCCTACTAAAAACGGAGTAGCCACAGCAGCATGAGTGGCAGGAGGGGGACAGCAACCCCAAGTACATACCTAGTGTGTCTGGTGGGCATGCACTAGCCCCTCATGCCACTTATGCTGCCGTGGCTACATGATTATTGCAGTGCTAATTCAACAAGAGCTAGCACAAGTATGTCTCCTCGAGCTGGAAAATCACACCCTCGCCTTAAAGTGTAGACATACTCGGGCTGAGAGCAGCCACACTGCAAACCAAGGGAGATGCAGGGAGCGATGGGATTAGCAGCCCAGAGAGATCGTGTTAGCAGCTGGTAAATTGTGCTCATGTGGGCTTTAGGGAAAGTCTACTATACTACAAACAGCATTACAACCACACTCCGATTTGGCTGTCTACCAACAAACACAAAACACTGGAGTTACAGTAACATGTATTCATGCAGTGCTGTTCTGCTCTCTCTGCATGCTCCATTTTTATAAGGAGATTGTAACCGATAAGACTAATGTTTAAAGAAAGGAGCCAGCAACGATAGGGTTCTGGAATGCCTACTGTATTCTTGTAACAGTTAGCAATGGGGTGACCCAGCCTACAGAGATTAATAGATTCCACATTGTTTTAGAGCAGGGTTCTCAACCTTTTTCTTTCTGAGCTCCCCCCACCCCCCAACATGCTATAAAAACTCCACAGCCCACCTGTGCCACAACTGTTTTTCTGCATATCCAGAAGATTAAAAGCAAGAGCCAGCATTAGCAGGTAGCAAGCATGGCAATTGACCAGGGCCCCAAGCCCCATGAGGCTAAATTGCTCAGGCTTTGGCTTCAGCCCACCACCCTAGGCCACAGTGCGTCTAACACTGGCCCTGCTCTCTAGTTTATTTTGATGGACCCCCTAAACCCTGCTTGCCACGGAGCCCCGGTTTAAAACCTACCATCCTCATGGAGCAAACTATTTTGGACTTGACCACCTTGACCCTTTAATTTTCAATAAAAAGAAAAGGAGTACTTGTGGCACCTTAGAGACTAACCAATTTATTTGAGCATGAGCTTTCGTGAGCTACAGCTCACTTCATCGGATGCATACCGTGGAAACTGCAGCAGACTTTATATACACACAGAGAATATGAAATACCACCTCCTCCCACCCCACTGTCCTGCAGCAGGACAGTGGGGTGGGAAGAGGTATTGTTTCATATTCTCTGTGTGTATATAAAGTCTGCTGCAGTTTCCACGGTATGCATCCGATGAAGTGAGCTGTAGCTCACGAAAGCTCATGCTCAAATAAATTGGTTAGTCTCTAAGGTGCCACAAGTACTCCTTTTCTTTTTGCGAATACAGACTAACACGGCTGTTACTCTGAAACCTGTCATTAATTTTCAATGTGAGCTAATATGAAATGTCATATATTTGCTGGAACTAGGCAACATATACCCGTGCACTTATCTGACTGCTTTTATACGCAGATGATCATCAGAAAAAAGTTGAACTGTAAAATTATATATTTTTGTACAGGAAGTTCAGAAATAAAACATTGTTTCCTCCACCCTGCTCTTCCTCAAATCAAAATGCAGCTGGTACACAACATGAAACAGGAAGGAAGAAAAGAATCAGTTATGAAGTACTCCAAGCTGCAGAAGGCCAAGAGCAGCAGAAGCAGGAAAGAAGAGGTCATTATAAAAATGGACACTCACTTCCCTGCAGTTGCTAAATAAGTTACTTTCATAAAATGACAGAATTGATTAAGGACAAAACTTGGTTTTGGGAATTTTATTTTGTAGAGAGAGGGAGAGGCTTTGCCTTAAGAGTTCTGTGTGTGATTCATTTAGTCTCAATAACTGATTCAACATTTAGAAGTTGCATAGTTTAACCCTTAAATATCCTGTATTTGAGAACTTGTCCAAAACTCTTATTTTAAAGACTGACTAGTTTCTGAAATACACCACCTCACAGCTATTAGAAATTATTTACACGTGTATCGTTTCCCTGTGCGGAACAGAAAGTGGCAGATACAAAGCATAGGGACCACTGACAGCACAGAGCATGAAGGAATTCTGCAATCTATATTCCAAGTACCAAAGTCTCATATTAAGTAGTTTGTTCTCGGAGTTCCAGGATGTAAATTCTAATCTCTTGCTATGCCGGGTTTATGTAGTTAAGGCATCCTCAGTTACTCTGACAAATTAAAATGTACTACAGCGGTTAGATAGTCAAACAAAAATGGATTGTTTTAGCCTAACTGTTCCAAGAAATACTCAACTTCACTGCAGTTTATCCACCATTTCATGAGCAACACTGTTTGCACTAGGCCCAATAATGCTAGGATTAACATAGCTGGAAATGCCAAGAACTGAAATTAGTTATCCCTCATATTAGATAGGGTCAAGACTGGTGCCACACACCCACATACTGGCTACTTCAATTTCAGTTCAGAGAACCGAGACAGCCACTACAGCTGTATGCTAAATTCTGAATCTGATTCTACATGGTAAGCATTGCAGATTGCACAGGAGAGTATCCTGATGTAATAGAAAGGGAAGCTCCCAGTTCTGTATAATATACTCAGAATAACCTGTACCACAAAATACTCCCACCAACCTGATGTCTGAATCATTTTCCAGGTTACTGGTTTCTGGAGGTTACTACCCTCTTTTCAGTTACCATATTTTATTTCAAGTTTCTTTTGTCTTTCCTGTAATTTAAGCAATATTTAATCTTATTTAAAATGCATTTGTATTGCCACACCACTATTTTTGTCTTCAGATCTCTAACCAAATACTTGGAAAATAAAATCTTTTTCTCCAAATATTTTGAAAACTAATGCAGTCTTGCAACTATAAGTTTCAAAGTCCTTTTCAAAAAGTGAGTTAAAATAGCTTCAGGTACAACATATGCAACAAAAGTCCCCTTGCCAATTTTTGAGGTTATATACTTAAAAAAATGTCTTCCCTCTTGTTGTGTAGGAGAGCCACTCAAGCAAAAATACAAACTAAATAACTGTTCTTAAAGTACGGTCAAATGTAGGAAAAAAGTTTAATTTATAGTAATCTTAGGTAATTTGTAACTATATTAGGTAAAAATATTCACTTTAAAAAAAAAATTGTCTATATCCCTTCCAAAAAACACCCCACACACAGACCAAAAAACAGGCAAACTACAGAGGAAGTTTTTTGCAATTTTAAACCATTCACATACATGACCTAGCTGTTTCCTCACCAGACAGTTGATCATTCAGATCTTTTTATTTGACACACATTTTGCCTTTATTTCCTTTATTGTTCTTACTAATTGACATTAGTCCGTACTTGAACGTATGTTCCTCAAAACCCTCTTTTCCATGCATTGTGAAATGAAGATTCAGTGCCAGTGGAAACCCTAAAAAGAAAAGGAGGACTTGTTGCACCTTAGAGACTAACCAATTTATTTGAGCATAAGCTTTCATGAGCTATAGCTCACTTCATCGGATGCATTCAGTAGAAAACTTTATAACAAGTGTTTGCTGTGTGGTGAAGTAAAAGGGTTTATTTATAGTGTACTAGTGTCTGACCGACTTCCCTTTGTATAAACCGTACACATTAATAGGCAAATAATGAGATCCCCAGGTTAACTCTAAGGCTTGAGGATTTAATACAAGGACTAAATATTGAAGCAATGTTGTAATGTTTTGAAATAATCAGTTTTAAAAGCCAGTGTCCTTACCTATGTTACTATACTATTACCATCTGAGATTATTAAAACTCATTTTTTAATTTACTTTTCACTATACTTTTCTTTTGTGCTTTGTAATGCTTCCATCATTAGTTTAGTTTTCTGGTAGTTATACATTAACAGAAGACTGGGCTGCAAATACTGTAACGGAATGTTTAAATCCAAACAAGTCCCAGCTCTTCATTAAAAGGTTTCATGCTAAAGCGGAATAATACATTAATCATACAAAATACCAGCATTCAATGCAAAGAACCAAACCATTTTTAGGATCAATAATTTACCTTTAATTTTTTTAAACATTTCGCAGTTTGTTACAAGAAACAAAATATTTGCTAATGAAAGATACACATTTTAACCCCTTTTCCAAAATAATAGAAATATTTAAGCATATTCCCTAACCTAAATACTGATGACTGAACTGGCAATATTAAATAGCTCTGAGTGAGCAAATTCACTCACTATTTTGACTCCTTGTGTTCATTACTTCTAACATCTACACTCCTACCCCCTATAGGGAGTCCTTAAAATCATATTCTAATTTTCTTTATTCTGAATTATTCTCATCTGTCTCCTCCCCCGCCGCCCACAATTCAGTCTCTGCAAACAAATAAAGCAAACTAAGTGCTCAAACCAATGCCAGTCAGGTGGATTGACTGCCAGGGCTTAAATTCTTCATGGCAACTTGCTCAGTTTCTCTCAATTCCAGAAGGAAAAACAATCCTAATTCTTCCAACCCCAGGTTCTCTGCATGGCAGTGCAATGCGTTTCTACTAAGTGAGCTACAGTGGATGTTCTTACTGCAAACTGAAGACAGACAACTAACAAGATACAAACATTTATAAAATAAACTTGATAAAAATGTTGCTAACATTATCCCAATGGAATTATGCCTACATTTTTACTTTCCTTCCACCAAAAATATATTTTTATTTTATAAATACATATTTTAATAGACAATCCAATCTGATTTTATGCAAAAAAAGTCACATTCAGATAGGTATTCTCAGTGTAGCATTAAAGTAAAAGCAGACATTACAGTAGGAAGGCATTAGCACAGTGATTCTAGGGAAGTGTTCACTAAATCATATAAATGGATCTACAAACGTACAGTACCATCTGTTTAGACTATGCCATGATTCAGAAGATAATGCATCTGGCATTTCATGCCCAGCATATCACTCTTGTGTTTGCATGTTGATAAAGAGCTGTCGGAGACTTTAAGTATAAATCTGATTTTAAAATTAAAAACATTTATGTAAACTTCACTAGTACTTACATTTGGGGTTCAGAAAAACAACTGCTAACAGAAGCTATGAGCTAAGGTTTTCCTTTAACAGAAAAACAGTTAAAGCTGTCAGGACCTTACAGTTCTTAGTTCCAGTTAACCAAAATCTACCGTGTAGTTTCTCAGTTGTTCCACTTCTGTTTCTTTCAAGTGGTAGCACTGGTTCCTGGAATCCAGCTCCTAGTCAGACCTGGTTAACTGGAGCTATTTGCCAATTCAACTTTTCACAGAGATTACAGAGATTTATTAACAGATTATTTTTACAATACATACGAGGCATGGAGGTTGAATGTCAGGAGCACCAACGAAACGATAGGTGCTGTTCAACCAAAAACAAACAGTTTCTACCAAGTGTTCACAATTTAAGAGGATAGTTCAATAGACACCCCTAGACATGCACACTCTTCCAGTGTCTTTTATAATAGTACAGGGTCTTCAAATTTTACAACCAAGGGCAGCACTGGCCACTTCCCTGAGCCAAAGGATTGCATCTAATGGTCATAAAATGGAGCATGTTGCACTTGTTTTCTTCTTTAAGAAAGGTTTGACCCATGGAGACCAGGTTCTGACACACAGTGCTCCATCCTTGATGCAAGTGAGTAGGCAGTTTGGATTAAGATGAAGCTTGCATGTTGGAACTTTTAGCCTGTATCTCTATATTAAAGATATGTGCAGTTGCAGGTTGCACTTTTGCTACCCTGTACGAGCATTTTCAGTGGCTGACAGACAAGCCAAGCAGTTCCATCTTACTGATCTGCTCATACAAGACTTTTTATTACAAAAGAGACTGTGAGCAAGAACATTAACATAACATCTTGTTTTTAATCTTGAAATGAAGAGACTGCCTACATTTAATCAGGCTCAAAAATCCTCCCCAGTCAACAATGATAATGGAATAGTCAATTAATGCACAAACCATCTCACAGCATAAAGGACATATACTATATCTGCAGGAATCTTTTCTCTTGATCATCATTGGTCCAAAGCCAGAGCATATAAAAATGTATTGGTCTTGAAAGCATTTGTCCTGTTCCAACAATATGTTTCTAGTCTAGCAATCTGTGAAATATTGGACCATATAGTAAAGGTATTAATTTAATGTTATTTTTGCTATTTGAAAACCTCCCTATATTTCCAAGGAACTTAAATTATAAAGATCTAGAAAAGAGAAAGTCTAATACTTTGTCCACTTAGAATAACTAAATTGAGACATAATTGATTTCCTTATTTCAAGAAGAGTTATGTCAGTGCAGGTCTGACTAGATGATTATGAGGGTCCCTTCTGGCCTTAAAGTCTATGAACGTTAGCAACAGCAGGAACTCCTACAGCATCAAACTTCACTTAAGTGAAGCACAGTGCAGGAAAATATTAACGTGTTCCCAGAGAGTACTAAGGGTTTTACAAAGTTAATTCAACAAATAAGAAAAGACATGATCAATATATTAATAATAAGGAACATCTAATCTCAAAGCTGGTCATCTTGATTACCCTCTTGCTCTTTTATCTCGCTTCAGTTCCAACATTTAATAGCCAGTGGCTTACAAATCAATAACATTAGAGATAATCCTTTATATCATTGCAAACTAGGGTCCCGACTCTCAAATGGTACTGTCATACATGGAATTCTCGATACAGTGGCTATTAAAATCATATGTGGGGCTGGCGAAGAGGGTAATTAGAACACCCCAATTTTAAGAACATTTTTGTTAGTCTCTAAGGTGCCACTAGTATTCCTTTTCTTTTTGCGAATACAGACTAACACGGCTGCTACTCTGAAACCCAATTTTAAGGTGTACTGTCTTGGCTTGACCTGCTGGGTGTAAAGTGAATGCAATACCTATCTGGAAAGCTAGGATTTCAGAGCCTGGACACAAAGGTAAACCCAGCATGGATTAATAGTCAATACAGAGTAAACAGCTACAGGGAGAGTAGCTAAGAGCCTTTTGGAAACAATGAATGAAAAATGTTTTAATTTCAATTCTACCTTTTGCCAAAAATAAGGCATCAGTTTTTAAAAGAAGTCATGGGCCTGATTCTAGAAGGGTGCCAAGTGCTTTTAATTCCCATTCAAACCAATGGTAGTTGAAGGCACTCAGCATCTTATAAGCATTTGGTTTTAAAATGATCTCTTATAGACAGTTTCTTTCATATGTAACTCTGCTTCTTCATATCTCAAAAAAAGTGACCCATCTTAAGATCAGAGGAAAGATTAGAAGTTTGTTACAAAATAAGCCCCAGAAGAAGGAAAAAAAAAAATTTTTGTCATAAAATTGCACTAAAACGATGAATATATTGGAAAAGCTCCTACTAGATTTTTCATGTATATTTCACAGATACGTGCAGTATAATTTGATGGATGTTGCATCAATATTACACAGCATATTTCTGCATGAGTAGCCAGAGTAGAAATGGAACCTGTCCATTAGCCAAGGCCTTTCTTTTTCTTTTTGTATTAATCTTAGATTATTTAAAAGTTGGAAACAATTTATGACAGCATACAGCTCTCTAGGTGAAAAACTGTTTGCAACTACAGAATGACAGTTACAGTGGACTGTAAAATTCTGCCTTCATAACACTTCTAGAGAAAGCTTCATACTGGTCTAAAGAATTCATAACTGTATCTCAGGCTGTCTTGTAACATTAGCACTTTGACAGTTTTTTTTCCACATTTGATTTTTGAAAAGAATAACTTAAAAAGCAGCCATTGAAAACCCAAAGCCAAAAGATAATCAAGTAATTTACTCCATTAAATGGCTGAAAATTTTTCTCCTCTATTTTAAAGGATATCAGCATTTTTATTTATAGGACTGGGCAAACTAACTAGCTGTTAAACATTTCTACATAAATCATGATTTTTTTCTAGCCTGAAAATATAACCCCCCTGAATATGGGTCATGATCAGTTTTCCAAACTAGTCCCAGAATCTGGTCATGAATATTTCATTCTTTTTTTACACTTAGCCTCTCACTTGCAATAAAATGCAGTGTACCAAGAAGCTCATTCTGTAACTTATTGCACTTCTGGGAACGAAGTACCTTTTCTCTAGCTTCTTGTTCCTATGATTTGATAAAAGCAGGCAACCCCACAGCATATTTTGTTTAGCCACTTCCCATTTCAAAAGATATAACATTTTTAATCCTATAATCAACTAATACTTCAAGTTTCAGAGGAACAGCCGTGTTAGTCTGTATTCGCAAAAAGAAAAGGAGTACTTGTAGCACCTTATTTATTAAATAAACCAATTTATTTAATTGGTTAGTCTCTAAGGTGCTACAAGTACTTCTAATACTTCAAGGGAATCTTTAAAAAGAGCAACAAGAGGTCGCAAAAAGAGAGTGTGAAAAGCAGCTGGGGACTAATGAATTTGAGTGTTTTCCAAATGGCTTGTTACAACATCACATACCAAGAGGATCCTTGAGATGACAACCCAATATATGAAAAGATAAGCTAAAAGGTGACATGGAACTGACACCACTTTCACAGCAGTGGACTGAGACATTAAAAGATGACATTTTAACTCTCTGCTCCTGGAACATGTATGTCTGCCAATGCTGGACAGGCACACTTGCTGTATGTAGCTGTTATAATTAAGCACAAAAGAGGTTAATATGGACAATGAATGAGTGATGGAAGATATTAGTATAGGGGAAGTATATGAAGTAATGGCTAAAAACACTCTACTGTCTCCAAATAACAGTGTATTTTTTATATATTAATACATATCGACTATTTCAAAAGCTGTTCAATATTTCCATGAGTTTGGAAAGTCTCTTGATTTGTAAGACGGTATAACAGCCCTGATGCAAAAAAATACAAAACACAATTTTAAATTGTCCAACGTTGTTTGCAAACTGTTTTTCATTTTTGGATGATTCACTGTGCTAAGATACATGGCTGATCAGACTTGAATATAAAAATAATTGGGAAAATTCCTTATAACCATCTTAAAATGGACAAGTCAGCCCTGGGCTGATTTTGCAGTTAGATACAATACAAAGAAGCGGTCATGACGACAGGTCTCATCTGGGTAGTATTTGCTGTTTTGTTATAGCAGTGAACTGTGTACACACACTTTGGCTACAGTTAATTTTTTAAACTAAGAATGATCTGTGTTGTGTCCCCACCTGCTGCAGTTGCCTCAGAAAACAATCAACTGTCCAACATAAAAAACAAGCCAACCAAGAGCAAACAGTGACCCTTAGTATTATCACAATCCCACTGATGGCAGCTTTCTCAGACAAGGCCTCCCTTTTCAGGTGATGGACGGTTACATTTGGAATAGTTTGCAATTTTCTTGGTTGACTAGGCTGTGACTGGAGGAAAGGTGTTAGTAACAACTGGAAATGGTATTTTAAAAAATTGTTACAATCGGATCTGTCTGAGGCTAATGTATAATGTTCCACTTAACTCACAGAATTAGACATAAAGAGACAATGTATTCATAGAAATAGCTATAAACTGCAAAGCTTAATTCTTCTGATACCAGTGAACCAAATTTTTTGAGTGAGGGTTTCATGACCATAAGTCGCCTGCAAACAAAAGGAAGAAAGCTTTCATCCTTGCTTCTGTTCATTTTGGACCTTTTAATTGATTTTTATCTATTCTAATGTACAGTAGAGCAGATTCTCTCTGATTCATTAGCTTGCTTTTGCCTCTCCCCTCCACTTCCCTGCTCCAAAGAGCAGCATACTATGAGAAACTTGGGCAAAACCGTTCTTAAACGCCTTACGCGGGACTGGAAGGGGCGCAATCATTTTGGCTAACCTATGTTGTACACTGACCGTAGATGCACAGTGTCAAATTTACGCTCTCTGAGACATTAATAACTGGCCCAAAAAATTTTGGACAAAAACCAAACACACTTGACCATAAAATGCTTCAAATTCAGACATAAAAAGAAAAACCAGAAAGTCCATTCGCTTGAATCACCTTCGAGAAACAGAACTACTTTCCTCTGACAACCCTACTGAAGCATCTTGTCTCTAAAGGTAGCTAAAGAAGAAATCTGATTCAGGGAAGAAAAGCTTACACCAGGTACAGGCTGAAAATTAACTGCCTGATAATGCCAAGCTAAACTAAAAACATATCTACTTTCTTGACTGAAAGATTCAACAAAGAACACAGAAGCTGAAATGAAAGAGGACAACGCTTGTGCGGACTTGCAGACCCTCAATAATAGGTTTCTAACAGAGGCAGAAAAAAAGGGCAGTTTAAGACAGACCTGTCATTGAATTACTGTCCTTCAGGGTGAGTTTCATTGTTTCCAGGATACCTTACAGGAAATGTTATGTGGAGGTAAAACATGTGCTGAGTTATAGATTTAGAGAGGTGCTCTCTCTCTAAAATCACACTTACATTTTGTTTCTCAGGATTAAAGACAAGACATTTTTATGTGGATGTACAAATGAAGTTAGGATTAAAACTGTGCCCTTTGAAGCATTCATAAACAGAATCAGATAAAGATATGCATCTCTGTATTTGCATTAGACTTCTGCTTGTTCACAGGCTCTTCCACCCCACATTCTAAGAGAGAGTAATTGTACAAAGAGAGGCTTAATAATGAAAACATGGATCTGGAGAATTTGGGCCCAGAATTCCTGGATTTATACTAACTGGATGATATATCAGGACATTTTTACACAGAGCTATTTAAAGAGCCTCAGACTCTGGTGACCAAAGATCACTCATTGGAGTGGAACTGTGTTTAGAGTTCTTGAAGGACTGGGTTCTGCTTCAAAGCTCAGGGAAGATGAAAGACTTCAAGTTTAGTCATGAAACTCCTACAAGCAAAGAGTCCTTGGTTCATGGACCTGTGCTCAGCTGACCCTGGAAGTCAACTGCAGGAAGGTGGTAGAATCCCTGACAATTTCTACAGGAAAGGAAAGGCCAGCACGGCTCTGCTGTCCACTCAGTACTCATGGTCCTCCACTGTACGAATAATCTGCCTTGTTGTGCATCACCAGCTTGTTGTCTACAAAGTAGAAACTGTCCGACTGTGTCTCATAGGGGTGAAGGATCATCTCTCGAACTGCAAAAGAAGTTGCACATTGGTAAATTTTTGTTTTTACCTCACACAATCGATAGACTGTAAATCTGGTGTTTTCTTCAGCAGTTATACCAGGATGTATAAAGATACAGTTTACATGGTTGTTCTGGTAACAACTAATGGCCATCCCGAAGCAAGTGACCAGGAGAAATCGTACTGTCTAGGTACTTACCTGCCCTCCATAATAACTAAGCGCCTCATGCGTAGGGTGCTGAGAAAAATCAAGGATTTGTTAAAGAAAGTTCACAGCAGTGTCATGGGTCCGGTACTGATTTTCATGAGATATGCATGGAATACAGTCAGCAACAGGTCACTGCTGCATTCTTTTGTATAAAACCGGCCACTGAGTCCCTCATGAATTGCTGCGATTTATTCTGGTGGCTGCAAATTACGATCTCCCTCTCTTCCTATCTCAAAAAGGAAAGGAGGACTTGTGGCACCTTAGAGACTAACCAATTTATTTGAGCATAAGCTTTCGTGAGCTACAGTTCACTCCATCGGATGCATACTGTGGAAAGTGTAGACGATCTTTTTATACACACAAAGCATGAAAAAAATACCTCCCCCCACCCCACTCTCCTGCTGGTAATAGCTTATCTAAAGTGATCACTCTCCTTACAATGTGTATGATAATCAAGTTGGGCCATTTCCAGCACAAATCCAGGTTCCCCCCCGCCCCCCCCCCACAAACCCACTCTCCTGTTGGTAATAGCTTATCTAAAGTGACCACTCTCCTTACAATGTGTATGATAATCAAATAAATTGGTTAGTCTCTAAGGTGCCACAAGTACTCCTTTTCTTTTTGCGAATACAGACTAACACGGCTGTTACTCTGAAATCTTCCTATCTCCTAGTTTGTGCCCACCCATCTGCTCAGCTGCTCACCTGCAGACGGTTTTCTGGAACATGAGCAGCCACAGCGTAAGTGGGGAGGTGAAGTGTGCACCAGCTGCCAAGTCCCCCCAAACGGCTGCAATTTTCCCATCAGCAGGCACTGGTCTCATGCTCAGTGTGACATCAGAACAGTAGTTTGGGGGGATTCAGTAACTGGCGTGTGTCTCCAGCTCCCCACTCAGGCCGCTCACATTCCAAGCAGTGGCCTTGCATAAAACTAGCTACCAAGTGTGCAGCAGATGAGCCAGATTGGTGCCCGCCCACCCGGCAGAAGAAAGGAAGAAAGGGAGAAAAAATCTGCAGCTGGCTGAGGAAATGAAAGCAGTCGGGGGGGGGGGGGGAGAAGCGATTTAGCAGACGATTTTACACAAGGCAGCACTGCTCCAACAGGAGGCTGCCACACACCATGAGCTGCGCCAAGCACCAAACTGCATATGCAGAGGCCCCCTCTCTGCTGTTGGAAAAATCGCAGTACTGGACTACTTTTGTGATTTCTGCACAGTCCATCGAACTATAGTTTCTCAGGGCCCTATTAATAAGCATTAATGTGCTTCTCCTTGCAACACTTCTGTGAAATGGGAAGAATCATCTCCATTTTACTGATGGGCAACTGAAGCACAAAAAAAGCGAAGTGATTTGCTCAAGATCACACATGAAGTCTGTGACAGGGCAGGAAGTGAACCATGATCTCCTTGGGTTCTAGTCTAGTGCTTTAAGCATAAAGCCTTCCTTTCTAAGCACAAGGTTTAAAAGGGAGCCAGGGGTGAGGGGAGCAGAGGGGTGCTACGCTCAAAAAGTGACTAGGGACATGCCATTCTTACTCAGAATTTGCTTCCTGTGAGCACGACTGACACTCGAAAGTGGATACCATTCCACAGGCAATACAGAAATCTCTTCATATTAAGGTTCCACTTACAAGCTTTTCAATAAGCGACCGGTAGATGTTTTAATAAATGGGTAAACAATTATTAGTGTCGAACAGGTTGCTTATAAACACTTTCCACTAATATGCTGATAACCACCTATATATAAAACATACTTCTCAGGCCTGTTACATGCTGACATCATCTATCAATCATTAGACCCTGCACAGCCTGTTTATAACTGAAATTAATATAGCGCGACCAATACATCTACAGAAGAGTGAGCACTCTCTCTGTTGATCGTTTTCAGCGATGGTAAATTCTGAGTGCAGAATCTTATCTCTGAAGAAGAGGTAGAAAAAAAATACTGCTCAATTTTTGAGTCCTAGGTAGTTTGCAGAGCTGGCATTTAGGCAGAAAAACTCAAAACTTGGCACATTTGACATGACTGTTGTTGAAAGAATAAACATGAAGCTACAACCCCCTGCCCCAGAGTTACTCTTTTGCTGATAGCCAAAGCCCCAGGGACTTGGGCCAAATCATTTACATCTAATGTGCAACAATCCTGATTTCTACAGCTCAGCTGCACTAAATTATACAGCAATGTTAAGTGATTTTGTAATTACTTAGGTCTTCACAGTTTGATGGAAATAATTCTAAAAATGCACCACAAAACGAAATGTTGTAGCCGCATCAATCCCACAATATTAGAGACACAAGATGGATGAAGTAATATTTTTCATTGGACCAACTTCTGTTGGTAAGAGACAAGCACAGCCATTTCAGCGGTGGTTGTACATCTGGCACAAGAATATGATTTCTCTATTAACACTGATGCTTCCAAGTGTTTTTTGTACTCTCCCATTCCCACTTCACAATAAATACATAGCTCCATTTGAGATGGAGTCCTCCAAAATACCGCCGTTTATCGTCCCTCCCTGGCAACCCATTGACTGGAAGAACTTACTGAGATCCTCCGAGAGCTGTGGGAATTCATAGATGTGTTCACAAGTGTTTTTACTGCTGGGGATGCAGAACCCAAATTCAAAATCAAAGCTCTTGAGCAGCTGATCCCGGAAGTAGTGCCTCTCAATCATGCGGAAGTTATTAATAGGCTTGTCCCCTACTGTGAACTCTACCCTGCAATGGAGAAAAAGGAAGATTGAAACAGGGAGTTTTGTTCCTGGCCAAAAGTTTGCTGCTCACCACCATGCACAACTGTGTCCTTTTAAACAATGCTGAAAATCTTAAAGTAACTGCTCCTAAAACATGCTTGTATAAAGGCACACAGTGTGATGCTACAAATCAGCCAGGAAACAAAGCAATCAGGATTACACAATGCACACAACTATTTTTCCTGCACAGAAGTGAAATACAAGTGTGAATTTCACAGTTTAAATCACCATCAGTAGAGGAAAAGCTGCTCAAACATACTGCATAAACAGCAGAGCATTCAGCACAGCTTCCTTGGTATAGGTGGATTTTTTTCAAAAGCCATTTTAATTAGGGCTCTCAAGCAATTAAAAAAATGAATCACAATTAATCGCACTAAAACAATAGAATACCATTTATTTAAATATTTTTGGATATTTTCTACATTTTCAAATATACTGATTTCAGTTACAACACAGAATACAAAGTGCACAGTGCTCACTTAATATTTATTTTTGATAAATATTTGCACTGTAAAAGAAAGAAATAGTATTTTTCAGTTCACCTAATATGAGTACTGTAGTGCCATCTTGATCATGAAAGTTGAATTTACAAATGTAGAATTATGGACAAAAAAAACTTGCATTCAAAAATAAGACAATGTAAAATTTTAGAGCCTGCAAGTCACTCACTTCTACTTGTTCAGCCAATTGCTCAGACAAACAAGTTTGTTTACATTTGCAGGAGATAATGCTGCCCACTTCTTGTTTACAATGTCACCTGAAAGCGAGAACAGGTGTTCACATGGCACGGTTGTACCTGGCATTGCAAGATATCTACATGCCAGATGCACTAAAGATTGATATGTCCCTTCATGCTTCAACCACCATTCCAGAAGACTTGAGTTCATGCTGATGATGGGTTCTGCTCGATAAACCAGAGCAGTGCAGACCAACGCATGTTTGTTTTCATTATCTGAGTCAGATGCCAACAGCAAAAGGTTGATTTTCTTTTTTGGTGGTTTGGGTTCTGTAGTTTCTGCATTGGAGTGTTTTTCTTTTAAGACTTCTGAAAGCAAGCTCCACACCTCGTCCCTTTCAAATTTTGGAAGGCACTTCAGATTCTTAAACCTTGAGTTGAGTGCTGTAGCTATCTTTAGAAATCTCAGATCAGTACCTTTGCGTTTTGTGAAATCTGCAGTGAAAGTGTTCTTAAAATGAACACCATGTGCTGGGTCATCACCCGAGACTGCTATAACATGAAATATATGGCAGAATGCAGATAAAACAGAGCAGGGGACATACAATTCTCCCCCAAGGAGTTAACTCACAAATTTAATTAACGCTTATTTTTTTAAATGAGTGTCATCAGCATGGAAGCATGTCCTCTGGAATGGTGGCCGAAGCACGAAGGGGCATACAAATGTTTAGCATATCTGGCATGTAAATATCTTGCAATTCCAGCTACAAAAGTGCCATGCAAATGTCTGTCCTCACTTTCTGGTGACACTGTAAATAAGAAGAGAGCAGCATTATCTCCTGTAAATGTAAGCAAACTTGTTTGTCTTAGCGATTAGCTAAATAAGAAGTAGGCCTGAGTGGACTGGTAGGCTCTGAATTTTTACATTGTTTTGTTTTTGAGTGCAGTCATGTAACAAAACAAAACAAAACAAAATCTACATTGTCACGAAAGTGCAACTTACAAAAGAGATGGCACTACAGTACTTGTATGAGGTGAACTGAAAAATACTATTTCTTTTGTTTATCGTTTTTACAGTGCAAATATCTGTAAGCAAAAATATACACACACTTTGACTTCAATTACAACATGGAATACATATAAAAATGTAGAAAAACATCCAAAATATTTAATAAATTTCCATTGATATTCTATTATTTAACATTGCAATTAAAACTGCGATTCATCGTGATTAATTTTTTTAGTTAATCGCGATTAATCAACAGCCCTAATTTTAATGCTTTTTAATGGTGCTAGATGAAGAGCTCTAAACTAGAAACTCTCATCCTCTGTCTACAAAACAATCCCAGAAAAGGGAGAAGCAGGAGAAGCTTCTGATCACGGCTCCCCACTGTGCTTCTATCCTGACCAGGGGGCATGACCACGTAGGGTTAAAAGGAAATTATTCATGTAGGCTCAGCTGTATGCAAGGTTGGCACACTTTACCCTGAGTACAGTCAGATAGCATGTCCCCCCCCAAATGAAAGTGAATATTTATTGCTTGAGCAGAGTAGCAGGCAAAGGATGAAGAGGTTGGCAAGCAACTTTGATTCTTTGTCCCAAACAGTGGAGGTGGATTCTCAACCACGGCACAGCGTCGGGGGTGCTTGTTTCAAGACTCTAGAGGCAGAAACCTTCACTTTGTTCCTAAACCTTCTGCCTCCAAGTTCTCATTCTTTAAAATTCAACCTTTAATTAGCATTAAATCAGACACCCTAAGAGCAGCAAAAATGCTGTTTGTCTTCTTTAAAAGTTAGATTAATGCAAACCCCTTATTAGAATAGCCCTGCTTTGAAACTGGAAGAGTTTCCCAAATTCCAGTCTGACATGAATCCAGATGAGTGACTTCTACACACGCGAAACATGGGATTGGTACTGAAACAGCAGCTGCTGTTTATTTAATTAAAGTATTGTAGACGTGATGCTAGAATACTGATGGGCATGAAGCACTTTGCTGTACTAATTTATACGTAAGTGAACATGGAGAAAACAAGGAAAACAAAAGGATCAGACACAGCCTGTTCTTCGAGTGATTGTTCATGTCCATTCCAAGCAGGTGTGTGCACGCCGAGTGCACGCCAGCTGGAAGATTTTTCCCCTAGCAGTGTCCGTACGGTTGGCCTGGGCGCCCCCTGGGGTGGCACCTTCATGGCGCCCAATATCAAGCCCCGCCGACCCCCACCCCCTCAGTTCCTTCTTACTGCCCATGACGGCTAGCTGGAACTTTGCTCGCTCTTGCAGCAAGCGCCTTAGCAGTGTTTTTGTTCTTAGTTTCAGAGTAGTAGCCGTGTTAGTCTGTATTCGCAAAAAGAACAGGAGGACTTGTGGCACCTTAGAGACTAACACATTTATTTGAGCATGAGCTTTCATGAGCTACAGCCCACTGAATGCATCCAATGAGGTGAGCTGTAGCTCACGAAGGCTTATGCTCAAATAAACGTGTTAGTCTCTAAGGTGCCACAAGTCCTTTTCTTTCTGTACTTATCACATAGGTAGTAGTGTTTGGTAGATCGTTAGTTTCCCCTCCGGGGGTATGCCCGGGTCTCCAGGGTTTAAACTGAGTCCTGTGGCAAGTTTATGCCCAAGAGTGATCCTCACTCATCCTGCCTGCGGTGCTTGGTGAGACTCACCAAAAGGACAAGTGCCGCATTTGCAAGAGTTTTCCGCCCAAGAACCTTTAAGGACAGAGAGCAGAGACAAACTCCTGCTCATGGAGGCAGCTCTGAGACCGCAGTCCGACCCGGGACCCAACAACCCGGCACCGAGCACGTCCTCTTCGGTGTGCAGCACTCTGGTGCCAACGGCGTGCGAACTGGGCCAGACGAAGGACTCTAAAGCCCACCGGCACCGCCACTCTTAGGGACATAGGGCGTTGGCATCAGTTCGGCACTGTTCTCCGTTTCTGGTGCCAGTAAAGAAGAAGAGGCCAGTGAGGGGCCAATCACCCCCCCCCCCCGAAGCCTAAGGGGCCAGTGCCATATGCGAGTGGCTCAGCACAGACCGCTTCCACCCAGGGTCTCGTCGACTCCTGCCCCGGCCGGGGTCCAGTCGAGGCCGAACCTTCCTCAGTCCCTGGACCATCTGGTGGACATACAACCACCATCAACGCCAGAGGCGTTCGAGGCGGCAATGGACCTGATGCGCCTCCCGGTGCCGGCCTCCTCCCAAAGGAGGGACAAGTCCCCGGCGACCGCACGGCCCGTTTCACTCCAGGGGCAAGCCAACCATGATGGCTCGTCGGTCTCCATCTCCGGCACCACCTGCACAGACGCAGGAAGCGCGCCGCCCCCCGGAGTCGAGTCATTGTTTGTTGGCGATCCAGGGGACTGCTCCTCCATGGTCTTCTTATTCGGAGACCTCGGAGTCGGAGGTAGACTCGGCTCGATTGAGCAGATCGCACAGCAGAAGATCCCGGTCCCGGCGCAGTCACCAATTATACCCGGCACAGTGGCAACAACAGTGGCAACCACCTGCTCAATGGCCCTTCTGGACACCCTGGGCGTACCATCAGAGCCAGGGTCAAGTCCATGGTCCACGCTCCAGAACGGCATCGGCGTCCTCGGCGTCATTTGTGCCACAGTCAGTGCCAGCACAGATGATGATGGCGCCGCCCTCGACTGGAGTGGCCCTGCCGACTCACATGATTTCGGCACTGATGCCTCAGCCAGCCCCGGCTCCGGCTCCCCAGCTGATGGCACCGGTGGAAGCCTCAGCTCTGTCCCTACCAGCCTCAACGGTCTCGGTCCCACCAGTTTTACCTGCCCTGGCTGCAATGGAGAGTTCTTCATCGGCGCCGGTTCCTCAGACAGAGTACCACATGCCGAGGACGCTGGGGGGCTGAAGGCAGTGAACTGGGTCCACCTCCGGTTCTCTCTTCCTCATCTTCACCCGACGAAGCGGTCGTGGGGACTTCACCGGCCCCAGCTTTGGAGGACAACCAGGTTCTTCAACAGCTTTTGAAGTAGGCCACCCAAAGCCTGGAGATTCAGGCAGAGGAGGTAGAAGACGACTTCGACCCGGTCATAGACATCCTGGCTCCCTCCGGCCCATCCAGGGTTGCACTGCCATTTATCAAGTCAATAACTGAAACATCTAAGAACTTGTGGCAAACCCCTGCTTCTCTGGCACCTACAGCCAAGAAATCTGAGTGCCGCTACTTTGTTCCCTCTAAAGGGTATGAATACCTTTATACCCACCCTCCTCCGGGTGGTCGACGCGGCCAATCAGAGAGAACGTCAGGGGTTTCAAGGCTCCACCCCTTAAAACAGGGATGCCAAGAACCTGGACCTGTTTGGCCGGAAGGTCTACTCCACAGCAGGTCTACAGCTTCGATTAGCCAACCAACGGGCCATAGTAAGCCTCTACGGACATAACACCTGTTCGTCCATGGCAAAATTTACGGAGCTTCTGCCCCAGGAAGCTCAGGGGGAGTTCTCTGTGCTCGTGGAGGAGGTGAAGTTGGTCTCCCGAGCGTCTTTACAAGCGGCCCTGGACGCGGCAGATGTGGCCTCTCGTACTTCAGCCACAGGGGTGGTCATGAGGAGAGGCTCCTGGCTACAGGTCTCTGGTCTTCCCCACGAGGTCCAACAGACCATTCAAGACCTTCCCTTCAAAGGTGTAGCTCTCTTCTCCGAGAAGACGGATAAGAGACTTCACAGCTTGAAGGACTCGAGGGCTACCCTTCGTTTGCTGGGGCTTCACACGCCTGCTACCCAGCGCAGACAGTTTAGGCCTCAACCTGCTCCTCGTCCTTATCAACCCCAGAACCGCCGGGACGCTCCACATAGGCGGAACAGGAGCACTCTGAGGAGGCAACGTCCTCCCCCTGGGCAAAACTCAGGCCAGCCTAGGGCCCACAGGGCTCTAGACCACCCTTTTGAGGGTACGGTCGAGGACAGCTTGCCAGTTCGACCTTTGGATCCTTCCCATCTTACTTTCTCATCCCGTCTCTCCCCTTTCTACCGTGCCTGGTCTCAAATTACTTCGGATCGCTGGGTGCTCCGCACAGTAGAGGTGATATTCCATCCAATTCTGTACCCTCTGACCCCCCCCAACCCCTTTCAGGGACCCCTCTCCTGAGCAACTTGTGTGTGAAGTGGTGCAGTCCCTCCTCTTGGTAGGGGCAGTGGAGGAGGTTCCTCAGGAGCTAAGGGGCAAGGGTTTTTACTCCCAGTACTTCCTAATACCAAAGGTCAAGGGGGGGGCCTCAGACCCATACTGGACCTGCGACAACTCAACAAGCACGTAAAGAAACTCAAGTTTTGCATGGTCTCGCTAACCTCCATTACCCCTCACTGGATCCAGGAGACTGGTACGCCACCCTCAACTTGAAGGATGCGTATTTTCATCTCTCAATAGTCGCACATCACAGACGCTACCTCAGGTTCGTGGTGAACACAGGCCACTACCAGTTTGCCGTCCTCCCATTCAGACTGTCGACTGCCCTGCGAGTATTCACAAAATACATGGCAGTCGTCGCGGCGTTCCTGGGCAAGCGCCAGATACAGGTCTTTCCATACCTCTATGACTAGCTGATCAAGAGTTGCTCGAGGACCCAGGTGGAGGCTCAGGCCGAGTTTATAAGGAGGACCTTCCTCGACTTAGGTCTCCTCCTGAACGAGGAGAAATCCAATCTGTCCCCGATGCAGAGGATAGAGTTCATAGGCACGGTCCTGGACTCTACTCAAGCCAGAGTGTACCTCCCGGAGGCCAGGTTTCGCTCACTTCAGAACATCATACAAGGCCTTGGACAGTTCCCCACGATATCTGCAAGAAACGGTCTAAAGCTGCTGGGACACATGGCCTCCTGCACTTACGTGGTGCAGCATGCCAGGCTCAGGCTGCGCCCACTCCAGTCTTGGCTGGCGTCAGTGTACCGACCAGCCTGAGATGCGTTGGACAGGGTAGTAACCCGGCCCCGCCTGGTACTGGGCTCCGTCCTACGGTGGCTCAACCCTTGAATGGTTTGCACAGGGGTACCTTTTGCCAGCCCTCAGCCCTCGCTCACCTTGGTGTCAGATGCCTCAGATCTGGGTTGGGGAGCTCACCTAGGGGACCTCAAGACCCAAGGCCTCTGGTCTCCGGTGGACCTCGCTCTTCACATCAATGTCAAAGAGCTGAGGGCAGTGCGTCTGGCCTGCTACACTTTCAAAACGCATATAACGGGCAGATGTGTTTCAATCCTCACGGACAAAACCTCTGCGATGTTCTATACCAATAAAAGGGGGGGGTGCACATTCATTCCTCTCCCCTGTGCCGAGAAGCCTTTGCGCTGTGGGACTTCTGCACAGAGCACTCGATCCACCTGCAGGCCCCATACCTCCCACGGGTGCGAAACACGCTGGCGGACAGCCTCAGCCGCACCTTCAACAGCCACAAGTGGTCCCTTTGGCCAGATGCGGTGAGCTCAATCTGCCGGTTCTGGGGCTCTCCCCAGATAGACCTGTTCGTCACTCCGGACAACAAGAAATGTCAGACATTCTGTTCTCTAGGGAACCATGGTGATGGGTCCATGGGGGACACCCTCCTTCTCTCGTGGGAGGGCGGCCTGCTATATGCTTTCCCACCCATCCCGCTAGTCCACAGGGTGCTCCTCAGGATCCGCAGGGACCAGGCCCGAGTCATACTAACAGCGTCGGTGTGGCCGCGTCAGCAGTGGTTCACCTCACTCCTGAAAACGTCCTCTCACCTTACCGCTGGTTCCTGACCTGATCACACGGGACCAGGGCCGTCTCCAGCACCCAAATCTGGAGTCGCTCCACCTTACTGTCTGGATGCTCCATGGTTAAGTGCCACAGAGCTCTCTTGTTCGGACCAGGTCAGGCAAGTCCTCCTGGGTAGTAGAAAGCCCTCCACCAGGGCTACTTACCTGGCCAAGTGGAAAAGGTTCTCCATCTGGGCAGAGCAACGTAGTTAGACACCGCTCCTCGCCCCCATGCCATTTATACTGGACTACCTCCTGGACTACCTCCTTCACCTAAAGCACCAGAACTTGTCCCAGTCATCAGTAAGGGTCCACTTGGCCGCTATCTCCGCCTTCCACCCGGGTTCAGACGGTCTCTCGGTCTTTGCAAACCCTATGGTCAGTCGTTTTCTCAAGGGTTTGGACAGGCTCTTCCCTCACACACGCATCAGCCTGTCCCTGCATGGGACCTCAATTTAATCCTCTCCAGGCTTACAGGCCCGCCATTTGAACCTCTGGCCACCTGCTCCCTGCTATCTCTCTCATTCAAGGTTGCGTCCCTCATGGCAATTACCTCAGCCCAACGGGTCTCAGAGCTCAGGGCCCTCAAGTCTGAGCCCCCTTACACAGTTTTTCATAAGGATAAGGTTCAGCTGAGGCCTCATCCAGCTTTTCTCCCGAAGGTTGTCTCCCATTTTCCCATGACCCAGGACATCTTCCTCCCAGTGTTTTGTCCCAAGCCACACTCCTCCGATAGGGAGCGCAGGCTGCACTCACTGGACATGCGTAGGGCCTTAGCCCTCTACATAGAGACAACTAAGTCGTTCCAAAAGTCCGTCCAACTCTTCGTAGCCATGGCAGACAGAATGAAGGGCCTTCCGGTATCATCTCAATGCATATCGTCCTGGATAACGTCCTGCATTAGGGAGTGCTACCCTGGCAAAGGCGCCCGCTCTGCAGATAACTGCTCACTCTACCAGGGCCCAGGCCTCCTCTGTGCCATTCCTGGCACAAGTCCCTATTCAGGAAATCTGCAGGGCAGCCACGTGGTCCTCGATACATACATTTACATCGCACTGTGCAATTACACAACAGTCCAGGGATGATGCAGCTTTTGGGCGAGCTGTGCTCTTTTCTGTGGATAACTCCCCACCTCCTGAGCTCTGGCTTGTGAATCACCTGCTTGGAATGGACATGAACAATCACTCAAAGAAGAAAAAACGGTTACTCACTTTCTCATAACTGCAGGTTTCAGAGTAACAGCCGTATTAGTCTGTATTCGCAAAAAGAAAAGGAGGACTTGTGGCACCTTAGAGACCAACCAATTTATTTGTATGCATCTGATGAAGTGAGCTGTAGCTCACGAAAGCTCATGCTCAAATAAATTGGTTAGTCTCTAAGGTGCCACAAGTCCTCCTTTTCTTTTTTCTCATAACTGTTGTTCTTCATGTCCATTCCAATACCCACCCTCCTACCCCTCTGTCGGAATGGTCGGCAAGAAGGAACTGAGGGGGTGGGGGTCAGCGGGGCTTGATATTGGGCACCATGAAGGCACCACCCCAGGGGGTGCCCAGGCCGACCCTACGGATGCTGCTAGGGGAAAAATCTTCCGGCTGGCGTGCACGCAGCACACACACACCTGCTTGGAATGGAGATGAAGAACACATCTCGAAGAACAACCGTTACGAGAAAGTGAGTAACCGTTTTATCCAATATCCTGCCGGCAATCTCCGAGGAGAGCAGAAAGGGGCCTCCCACCCAACCCAGAAGGGAAAGTGTGGGCATCTCAGCCAAAACCTGCACCTCTCAACACCCCACCACAGATACATTGCTACCTGTAAGGGAAGGACACATTTTGAGCGAGCTAGGCTCAGCTGGAATAAAATACACAACCAATTCCCTGCACCAGCTGGTTTTTTCAGTTTCAGGATATGCCCCCCACATACATGCACATCTGCACTTTACAATGTAAAAGTCAGTGGCGATATTCCTCGACTGAAGTTATACAGAAAAACCTGTTTTACTGGTGCTGCACATAAGCATCACTTATTGACCTGCACCAGGTCCTACCCAACCCACCAAAGGCAATGCAATGGTGCAAATGCTGATGTGCTTTAAATGTTCTCATTGGAATTCATGATTCCATTCGCATCCATGGAGTGATGCTGGGAACGAGGGAGGCTGCAGAGCCCTCTTTCAAAAGCTGAGCAACTGGGACAGCAACTGCCAAGCCACGCTTCTCCAAAGAGCAGCTGGGATACCTGCATGTAGCCTGTTGGTTCTGCACCGCCGCATGAGACCCTAGTGTTAGTCTCTTAGGCCCCATTTCTCGATATGGTACAAGCACTGGGCAGGTTGAATGTTCAAACCTCAAGGTGTTAGGAGATCCTCGTCACAATCAGCAAAAAGCCCCTACGAAACTGACTTAAGTTGCAAACCTATCTGGTACCTACAGCAAACTAAAGTCACTTTCACCCCAAACAGTAAGAGTGCAACCGATTTCAGTACTAGGAAGAGCAGCACAATACCCCAGATACTTACGTGGCTCCAACCTGCCGAAGTCTAAGGAAAGCTGGAGTGAACTGATAGCGAACAAACCGTCCGGCATTAGGGTCAACATCCTTTTTATCACCATGTTCACGTTCTGGAATGGTACAAATCAAATCTTCATAATTGTGGACTGAGAAACAGGAACCTAAGGAGAGCACCTTTATGTGGTACCCTGAAGTCCACCCTCCCCCTCAGAGATCCTCCATTCCTGATACTGCCTGTCTCCTCAGTTTGAAAGCCCAGCCAAAGACTGCATAAGATGTTTGTGGACAAGTCAGGCAAACTCAGGCACTGAAAAGTTAACTATCTGCAGACAGTAGCTAATGTTTACTTACCTACTAGGGGTCCTGTGCTGTGTATTTTCTGTAAAGAGCTTGGAGAGCTTCAGGTGGAAGGTAATACACAAGTACAGATTTAATAATTTTATTAAGGTAATGTTGAAGAAAAAATGGCTATGTTCAGTATTACACATCTACCCTAAACACTTCCAGGTCACTGATGCTATGTCAGCTAATCTATTTGCTAGTTTGTATCCCTAACGAGTATGAATACATCCAGAAAACTAAAGACAGATCTACCACCTGTCTGCTTCTTGAGGGAAATGTAGTGACAGAGATAGAGTCCACCTTTGCAGCAGGAATTTCTTTGTGAAGGAATCAAGTCAGTTGGGGCAGTAAAGAATGTGGGGGGCCTCTCTCTGGATCTCCTCAACACGTTCTCATTATTGTATTTTGGTTCTTCAGAGTTGATTTCATCATGGGGCTATCAGTGTGGGGCTGTAGTGTTGCTTCAGAGCCATAAAGTTTGGCTCTTCAGCTCTGTCCTTCTCCTCATGCCATTCCATAGGGATAGCATCCCTAGCAGAAAGGGGTAATGCACACACTGGATTCCAGCTCTATAAACATGGAAGAATCTGAAATACAGTTTGGAATGACTGGCAACCTCTGCTCAATGGAGACTCGCTGCTGGAACAGTAGGAGAGTTGTAGGCAAGGACCCAGGTGATTTAACAGTGGAAAGTAAGGCCCAGAACTGGAACCACCACTGGGGCTGCAAGTGTGTTAGCAAAGACACATATGGGAAGCTTGCACACCACCTACCCACACTATCCCTGCCTAGAGTCAGACATAAGAAGCCTATTACTTTCCACAGCACCAAATTCAGTAACATTTGGAGGGCTTGGGGGAGGAGCAATAAACACACGATGGGAGCGGACATGCAGAAAAGTCCAGGAATGCTAGATTTCCCATTTTCCTTCTGAGTGGGCACAGACTTGCCACTTCTGCCACATCTGCTGTTGATTCTGTCCCTCACAGCGTTAAGACTGCCCTGCAGCCAAGCACAGCAAATCGGCCTGCCTGCCACTTCTGAACAGCTCCCTCTATTCACTGGCTGCTGGGGAAACTGTTTACAGGTTACGTTCGTTCTCTGTCACTGAGCAGGTAAGAGCTTTACATTCAGGGAACAATATTTTAAGTTATTTATATGACTGAAATATAAAGGATTTGTTCCTCAAATGTAAACGTTGATCTCAATCCCAGCTGCAAAGTCATGCTGCTAGCCAGGGCTGCTCTACCCTGGCAGGGGGAAGGATGGATCTAAGTTACGCCATTTCAGCTACGTGAATAATACAGCTGAAGTCGACGTACGTAGATTTACTTACTGCAGTGTCTTCACTGCAGTAGGTCGACTGCTGATGCTCCCCTGTAGACTCCACCTACGCTTCTCACTCCAGGAGAGCGCTCGGTGGTCAATTTATCGCATCTTCCCTAGATGTGATAAATCGACCCCCACTGGATCAATCACTCCAGAGGTGAGAGTGTAGGCAAGCCCCCATTAGTGTCCCAACTCTTACACTTCTGTGTCAGTAAAGATTTGAGAGTGTTTGGAGTCACTTTGCTGTCTCCTGTAGAGCATAAGAACGGCCACACTGGGCCCGACTAGTGGTCCACATAACCCAGCATCTTGTCTTCCAGCAGTGACTGGTGCCAGGTGCTTCAGAGGAAAAGAACAGAACATGGCAAATATCGAGTGACCCATCCCGTCATCCAGTCCCAGCTTGTGGCAAGTCAGAGGTTTAGGGACATCTGGAGCATTGGATGTGTCCCTGACCATCTTGGCTAACAGCCATTGATGAACCTATCCTCCATAAACCTGTCTAATTCTTTTTTGAACCCAGTTATACTTTTGACTGCAGGTCACTGAACGAGCCATTTCAGCTCTGTGCTTCACTTTCTCCATCTGTAACATGAAGAAAAAACTCCATTTCACGTGCAGGGAGACAGAGGTTCAAAGGGACACAACTTAAAATATAAGTCATGCTTCTGTCTGAATTGTCATTATCATTTATGGTTACAAGTAACACCAAAGAGTCGACAGAGATTAAACAAACCTGAGTGTTTCAGTTTGCTTACTTTGTGCCTTTGATAGTACTTCACATATACTCAGGTCCTCCTCTACAGACAGAGTCTCCCTTTGGAGAAGTGTCTCTTCACTGCTGCTGTGTGAAAGACATTTTAAGCGATAGGAAAATAGGATTGTGAAACCACAGAAACTGGCAGGGGCACTGAGAAGCTGGTGTCAAATCTGAGACTACTGCTTCCAATTACGCGAACCAGTGTCACCAGGACCTCATACCGCCACGCTCTCATTTATGTGCAGCATCCACCTGTTGCCTCTTGTCACATGTAGCGAATTAAGAACACTGTGGAAGGGACCTGCTTTTTTATCATGTCCGTATTGGCACAACGGGCACTGATGAAGGCGAATGCCTAGAGCAGGAGAGGGCAATCTATGGCCAGCGGGACGGATCCGTCTGGTGAGGGCTTTCAATCCAGCCCGCAGGATTGCCAGCTGCGGTGCAGCGGGGCTAAGGCAGGCTCCTGCCTGCCCTGGCCCCGTGCCGCTCCCAGAAGCGGTCGGCACCATGTCCCTGCAGCCCCTGGGGGGGGGGGGGGACAGAGGGCTCAGTGTGCAGCCCCTGGGGGAGAGAGGACAGAGGGCTCTGTGCGCTGCCAGGCACTGCCCCCCGCAGCTCCCACTGGCCAGGAATGGGGAACTGTGGCCAATGGGCGCTTCGGGGGTGTTACCTGCAGGCGAGGGCAGAGGGCAGCATGTGGCAGAGCCGCCTGTCCCATCCCACCCCCAGGAGCCACTGCCGGACATGCTGGCCACTTCCGGGAGCAGTGTGGGGACAGGGCAGGCAGGGAGCCTGCCTTAGCCCCACTGCACGCCACTGCCACCCCGAAGCTGCTCGAGGTAAGTGGCACCGGGCTGGAGCCTGCACCCCAACCCCCTGCCCTGAGCCCCCTGCCACACCCCTCCTGCACCCCAACCCCCTGCCCCCCAACCCCCTGCCCCAGCTCTACATTCATGGCCCTGCATACAATTTCCCCACCCAGATGTGGCCCTTGGGCCAAAAAGTTTGCCCACCCCTGGCTTAGAGGCCCAACTTCGATAGGAAGATCATTTTCCTTGAAGTGACTAGATTTCAAGTTGACAGTGTCTCTTTGCTATTTGGAAAGTGCTTGGAGTGAAAGAGGCCGGAGAAAGGCAAAGGTTATTTCTGAAGAAGAGAGGTGTGAAGTGGCATTTGTTTATTAGTGACAACATTCTCTGCACTCACCTGAGGCAGGTGGTTTGGTGATTTCAAACAGTACCGTGCCAGACTCCATGTCTCGGATTTTAAACCTGGTGAAATCTATCTTGTACACATTTTCCTCAGGAGTGCACAAATAATCTGTGGAAGGAAAGCAAATTCAGTAAGGAAAGGGTGTGTTGCATTGGCTTGGACTTCAGACTGCTCTCTGGGATCACAACCAGCAGTGGGGGTGGCCAAATGCACCCCAAAAACCCCTTTTCTTTAATACAGAGCTGCAGCCTACAGAGGCTACAATTCCCAGTTTGCAGCACTCCATGTTGATCCAAATGGAAAGATGAAAAGATGGAAAAATGCCTTCTCCCAAGGCATGGAGGAGTCATTGCCATGCCCTGACCCTGGCCCTCCACCTTCTGGATCCCTTTTCATCCAGGGCCCTGAAAAGCAGGCAGCAGTCGATCGAGCTCTGGCCTTTTCCGTTTAAGAAGTCTGCAAGAGTGCAAATGCTAAACAGCTTCGCAGGCACTAAGCCGACTTCACCTAAACAGAACAAGTATTCCCAAGACACAATACTGCCTCACCTCGCCATTCACACTAGTCTGGGGGTGAGTTCTGCTACCTTTTCCTCAGGCCTCATGAAAGCTAATAGCAACCGGCCTGCAGCTATTTTTAACTAGAGGTGGATCTTGACTAGACTGTGGTCTGCTAATGGGGCCCTTTCCTGAGTCAATCACTGCTAAATTCTGTGGCTGAACACCACTCTTTCCAACCCTTGTCTTGCTTTGTCTTGGGACCAATTCCAACTCCCTGCCACTAGACAGCAACTTTACCTTTGTGCTGGGTGCGGGAGGGGAGATCATTAGTCCTGTGGTTACTCTCCATGTTACAGAGGCACAGAGCAAAGGCAGCTCTGAAAACCTATTTTATGCTGGCAAAATCTAAATTAATTTAGACCACCAATATACATAAGTGAACTTAGCTTGTAAATGCATGAGTGAAGAACAGTGTCTGGGGCATTTCTGAGAGACCTGCTCTAGAGCAGTGGTCCCCAAACTGAGGAGCGTGGAGGAATGTTCTCCACCCCCCAGGTCAGCTCCACCTCCTCCTCCATCCCCAGTTCTGCCTTCAGCCCAAGCTCCTCTGCTGAGCTAACTGTGCAGTAATGGTGGGGGGGGGGGGGGAGGGGCGGCGGGCAGACAGATTCCATTACTAGTTGCGGGGGGGTGGGTGGGGGGAAGTGACAGGAAAAATTTGGGCACAACAGGTCTGAGGTTTGAGCACAGCTGGAATCTAATTCCTGAGTTCTAATCCCAGCTCACCACTTAGTGGCTGTGCCTGCTTCCCCACTTCTAAAATTGGGATCATATCCACCTCCCAAGGGTGTAGTAAGGGTCAGCTAGCTAAGGACTTATCTATACTTACATTGGGAGGTCTAGGTTGGATATTAGGAAACACTATTTCATTACGAGGGTGGTGAAACACTGGAATGCGTTACCTAGGGAGGTGGTGGAATCTCCTTCCTTAGAGGTTTTTAAGGCCCAGCTTAACAAAGCCCTGGCTGGGATGATTTAGTTGGTGACCTCCTGAGGTCTCTTCCAACCCTGATATTCTATGATTCTATGAATGCTGCAGCTGTGTGCTAGTCCATAGTGAAGACTATGCCTATGTCGATGGGAGAGCTTCTCCTGTTGGCACTGGTACTCCACCTCCTGGAGAGGTGAGACCTATGTGGACGGGAGAAGCCCTCCCTCCCATTGACATACTGCTGTCTACACCAGAGATTAGTTCAAGTGTCGCACAAGGGAGTGGACGAAGTTATATCGACATACGTGTGTAGTGTAGTGTAGACAAAGCCTAACACATGTGAGGGAATTACTGTAGGTTTCAGACAGGAGGAGCGTGCTTTAGAGGAAGCACAAATGAAGTGCGTACACTAACTACTACGTTGGGCAAATCCTTGGATAGAAAATGACCGGTGTGATTCAAGACTGCCCCAGTACATTAAGAATGTGTCTTAAATCAAGCACATTGTGACTAGCAGGACAGAAAGATATCCTATGATCTCTGCACAACAAACTGTACCAGAAGCCAGACCACAAAGCCCTCAGGCTGGGATTTGCAATCACAGGAACTAGATCCCAGCACTCTAGAGCAGACACAGACATGTGTTTGATCATTCCCAGGTTGCTAGCCTGTACCATGCATGTAATCTGCGGTTTTGTGTGACTATTTTCAGCTGTTGTGTTACTGAAAGTTAACTGCACATGCTGTGCCTTTCCTCTTCCAGGAGCCTCTTTGCAGATGCTCTATCCAGAGAACTGTCTGAGCACTCAACAGCATAAAGAACAGGAGCATTAGACTTACCCTCCACAGGATTTTACTGCGGGGTGCCATCACCAGCAGACAGTGGAAGTTCATAGGAAATGGAGTCCGTTAGGGATGCTATTAAGCACAAAGCTTTCTGTTGGCATGTGGCAGTGACATTTCCCTCTCAGAGTATCAGCACAGAACAAGTGGAAACACTAACAGCAGCTCTTTGATTGTTGGTTTGGCCAAAATAATTTTCTTCCTATCCAAGAGCTGTGCAGAAGCTCAACTATGTCAGTCATTGCTGGTTATCACAAATCTAGCTGAGGCCCACTGCTGAGAGAAGAACCCTATTAAAGCAAAGCACTCTTTCAGCTGCATAAAACCCCACATTTCCTGGTGACTCTTGAGGCAGAGATAGTCCAGGCATTTAAAGCAACACTCCATTCTGGACTCCAACAAGGAAACCTTAAACTTGAATACGGGGAACGTGTCATGTGAAGATACATGAGGGTTAAGGGTCAGCGCAGGGCCAGGCCAAACTGTTAGCAAGGCTGATCTGGCTGGAACATTCTAGGATACTTACGTAAGTTAATTTGTGCCCCATAGGCACATATTAATATCACTTCTGGAGGCTACTGCTGCCCACTATCAAAGGCTGTGCACCTAATTGCAGAGAGAGGCAGCTGCTTCTGAAAGGTGTAAGAGCCACAGTCAGTAACATGATCAGACCACATGCTCCAGACAAGTGAACTACTTGGTAACAGTCTGGAAGGGGGAGGGGGTGCGATGTGCAAGTCATGTTTGTCCACAAGTTAATAATTAACTGTTTTTCTTCTGCAGAATTCTTCCCCAGCTAGCACCATGGCAACAGTTATCCCCATCCTAGGCAGCGGTGGTTGCTATAGTAACAGTGTCCGTGGATCACCCAAATGAGAGCAGAGCTATGGGCAAAGAGCTACACAGAAGGCCGAGTGCTGGCCACTCTGTCTCTCTGGCACTGAAAAACCTTCACCACCTTTTCCAGCTCTGTGGGGGAAGTCTTTGAAACACCCTCATCTTTACCAGTACTCTGGTATCTAGCTGGACCACCCTCAGGCAGGTTAGCTGCCAGGGTGAAGGTGGGATTTGGTGTAATTGGTAACAGCTTTCCTGCCCTACCCCCTAGAATGGCATTGTCCAGTCTCCTAGTGGAGACGCACGCACTTGACGTGGTATCAACCCAGCTCCTCTCAGGGTCTGCACGGAGATATTTGCTTCCTCCAAGTCCTGCTCAGAAACAGGCTCTTTCCCAACAGCTCCCATTATTAATGATGGAGACACTTGCTAACTGCACAAACACTGCCTCCTCTCCCAAGGCCTGCTGTATTTAAGAACCACCTAGGACATTATGTAAGAAATGTGTTGTCAGAGAAGGAATCCAGCACCTCATGTAAACCAACTGGTGAGACCCTACCCTGACCTTCTCTTTACAGATAAATATTTCTACAGAACCAGCAGAAGCCCTGTCCACAGCCTGCAGCCACAGAGTCTGAGCTTCGCTCACCTGCGAGCAGAAGTGTCAGGGTGCCAGAAGGCCAAGGTCATACCTAACTAGCCTAGGACAGAGCAGCCCTCCTCTCTACAGAGGTAGAACTGGAGACTACAGGGTCCAACCTGGCCTGCTCCACCACATTGAAGGGGGAGAAATGGCCACAGGCAACTTTGAAGAACTCTGTACGTTGTATTTGGCCTACAGTCTGACACCCAAGCTGTAGGGTACTGCCTCTGAGTCATCTACATAAAGTCTTCTCCCTCCCACTTAGTCACTTCTACCAGCTCCACCTCAACCTGTGTGGCTCTACAGGGGGAAGCATCACAAACTGACCAGAATCAGCGACTCCCATTTATAGACAGTCCGAGAGAAACATCTGCAGTCTCACTGCTGAGCGCTGACCACAGCTTAAGGCCAAAGGACCACGGCTAGAACCAGGCTCCGAGTCCAAGGCCTGTAGAACCAGAGGCAGCCCAGGGGACCAGCAGCGCTGTCATCGCCACTAGAACTAAGCTCAACTCCTGCAGCATGGTTCAATCAGCGGCCAGAGCCTGGTGGGAGAGGAAGAGCCACTCCTCCGGGGAGCAGCATGAAGTACGTATGTCCCAAAGCCCCACGTCTGAGGATGAGGGTAAAATGATCAAACTGCACCAGAACGGGCTTGGTGCTGAGCCAGCACGAAAGCCCAAAACAACAGGTGGCAGGGTGAAGGGACGCCAGCGGGCCAGGCAGCCCCACATGGAGGTTGTGTAAGAATAAGCTTTATATAAACTCAGGTAAAACAGAAAAATGTTTCTCATTCATGACTTTGCCTCTCCAGAGCCCCCCGTAAGGGCGAGATACATGGCCTTGGAAAGACAGGGTGGGAACACAGGCATCCAGAGACGTCTCTTTGGCTGGCAATCCACATGCTCTCAGGGTCTCCAGAAACAGAGTCCCATCTCGTCAGAGGAGAAGAGCCCACATCCAGGAATTCTTCACACAGCGCTTCACAAACTTCAGAGCCAAAATATTTAATTGGAGGCTTCAGTGCCCCCTACCAAAATAAAAGTCTTTGACTCCTTAAAGCCAGTGGTCGTGTATCCCGTCCCGTCTCTGGCACGGTTCATTATTTGGAATAGGACCGGGCAATACAGTTTGTGCTCCTGTGCCAGCAGCACCTTCTGCCCAAATCCAAAGGGGAAAATCCCCAGGGCAGCATGGTCCTGCGGTGTCGGCAGCCTCGGCACTTCCATGTGGGATTTCATTCTGATGTCAAGTGCCGACGCAAGAGGAGGCCATGGCTGGCTATCAGGAGAAG